AAAGAGAGGAGACGCGGGGCACCGTTTCTTCAAAACGAGGACCCAACACCACAGGATGGTTGGGAAGAAACGCAGGCGAAAACCCGTTTCCCGGGAATCCTGTGTAAAAAACAGTACGCGGGGGGGGGGTCGGATATCTTCGGGACGCCATCAGGGGAAGTGGGAGAGTATTTTCATATTGTGTAATTGTGAAAAGAGGAAGAGGAGGAGGAGGAGGAGGAGGAAAAGGAGGAGGAGGAGGAGGAGGGAAAGGAGGAGGAGGAGGAAATGAAGAAAACTGCGAGACGCAAGTATTCCTAGGGCCTTCTTTCACATCACGTGGGGAGTAGAGGGCATATACTTCGGGGCGGACCGGCAAGTAAGCGACCTCGCCCGATTTGCAAGTGCGCGACCTCCCGGGGCGCAGAATGGGGCTACTCCAACTGACCCAACCCATACCAGACGCGTGCTCTGGTAGCAGGCCATCTGAAGAGAGCGAGGTCGGTAGGCAGAACTTCCAGAATGACGGATGCAGGAGGGCGCAGAAGGACGAGGAAGAGGAGGGGAAGAGAGGAGGGCGGTAAGGAGGAGGAGGAGGAGGACCAGTGCAACCCCAAGATTGATCAACGATATTGCAAAAAGTAACACCATTGCCCTGGCTCTTGCACCCAGTAGCTGCGAGGACAGGAGGCTTTCGCCTCCTTCCTCCAGTTCCCTTCCGTGGCCGCGGGGGGAGAGGACGAATGAGTAACGAACGAACGAACGACAACGACGAAAATAAAGAGGTCCGAGCTCTCGAACACAGCTGCGCAAAAGAATAAACCCTGCCTGGAAAGTGCCTCGTTGGAAGACAGTCGTTTGAAAATCCGGAACTGTGCCAGAACACCATTCCTGGGCCTTTCATAGGACCCCAACACCGCAAATCAGCGCGACCGTTGCGCCCTTACATTCAGACACCGTGCCCAAACCCCGTCTTGGGGGGAAGGTAACCTTGATAATCCTCGACATTGCTGCGAGCTCTTCAGGACGAATGTGCGAGGCGCTACGGAGGTAGCAACGTTTTGAGACCATCCCAGAGGCGCGCGGGGCGCTGCGACGAGCGCCGCATTTGGAAGGCGAGCCGCCCTCCACGCGCGAAGCCCTTCAACATTGCAATACGAATGTGCGCGGCGATAGAAAAAGAAGGATGGAAGGAAGAAGTACCCTACGCCGTAAGGCGCATCGGCGCGGCATTCGCTCAGGCGAGCACGAAAAAATTTTCGATCTCGAACAGCGTGTGGGTGTAGTTGCTTGCCCCATTCCAACCGGGGGGGCCCGGTTTTTTCGTACGTACATGTCGTTCACTGGCGTCAGGACCGCCCTCAATCCGTGACACTGTTGCAAATTTCAAGCTTCAAGATCATACATGGTGAGGAAGTCTCAGACGACACGCCCGGTCCGCCCTTTCGACTGGCCTCGGGGTGTCACACGGGGGAAACATGTATGCTGAATAGACACGGAGGAAGAGGAGGAGGAGGAAGAGGAGGACGAGGACCAGTGTAAACCCAAGACGCATCATCGATGGTGGGATAAAAGCTCCCTCCAAGTTACCTCTTCACAGGTCCCTACAAGAATTGATTGCCAGTTCGGGAAGTGGCCATGTAGAAGACAGAAGACAAACGTCGGGGAACCTTCAACCGTGCCGAAGCACAACTCCTGGGAGATCAAGGCCGCGGATCAACGTGACTGTTGCGTCTTGCAAATCCGAAAACGTACCAGAACACCGTTCATGGGACTTCAACACCGTAAATCAACATGACGGCTGCGTCCTGACAATCGTGCATCGCGCCAGAACACCGTTCCTGGGATTTCAACGATACGATATCCACGAAACCGCTGCAAACTGTTAAACGAATGCGCGCAGCGCTACTGCGAAACCACAACTGCAACAGGCACGACCTTCACCCGTGAAATGGTTCAACAATCCAAGATCTGGGATCATAAATGGTAAGGTTGCCTCAGGCGGAACGCCCAGCCCGTCCTGCCGACGCGGCTGGGAGTGCGACAGGGAGGCGTGATTCATATGGGAAAAGGATGGAGAAGAAGGAGGAGGAGGAGAAGGGGGAGGAGGAGGGGGAGGAGGAAAGGAACAGGAGGAGGGGGGGGAGGAGGGGGAGGAACAGGAGGAGGGGGAGGAGGAGGGGAGGAGGAGGAGGAGGGGAGGAGGAGGAGGAGGAGGAGGACGAGGAGGGGGAGGAGGAGAAATAGGAGGAGGAGGGGGAGGAGGAGTAGGAGGAGGAGGAGAAGGAGGAGGAGGGGAGGAGGAGGAGGAGGAGGAGGAGGAGGAGGAGGAGAGGAAGAGGAGGAGGAGGAGGAGGATGGAGAGGAGAGGAAGGGGCTGGAAGCGCCGAGCGGGGCCCCGGGACGCGCCCAGGGGCCCAGCAGGGCAGCCTGCAGCGCCTCGTCGCTCTCCGTCACGTTGGGCGCGAAGCCGCCCTCGTCGCCCACGTTTGTGGCGTCCTGCCCATCCAATTCAGGCCTTCGTCCAAAGCTGTATCCGCGTGCCTCGGCACTCTTCTTGCGCCTTCGCCCCCTCCTGCTCCTCCTTGACATGCCCGGCTGGACAGGCAGCCGTGCTCGAGCTTTCCAAACACTCGTACACATGTTCCAGCTTCATGTGTGATTTGTATGTTACCTTCCGAGCCGGCTCAAGGCTACCAGGCAAAACCCAGCAGCCAAGCCGATTGGACCTAGTGTCCTGGCAGTTTTCGTTGTGATCAGACTACATCACTCCAGAGGATATATTAACCAAGCATGGCCGCGAGGATTGCTTTGGCTCGAAAGGAAAAAACTTCCCCTCTTCCTTGCCTTTCGGGCGGATTGGCTTGTCATTCCCGCCGGCCGATAGGCTTTCCTCGATTCCAGCACGACGGAAAACTGCCCCTGGGGGGGTCAGGACCTCCGGGCCCCGCTCCCTTGCGGCGTACTGGCCGTCTCCCTCCTCTCGGCCACCGTGCCTCTGGGCACGGAGCGGGCGTGCCCTCAGGTCCTCTGCGGAATTTCGGCAGCCTCGGTCGTCAGTCCTGAGGAGCCTTGAAGGGGCCCAGACCCTAAATTCTCATGCCGCCATGGGCCTGGCGCGTGCCCGCTGGGTTCCAGCGCGCCTCCCCGCGCGACTCTTTCGGGGCCCGAGAGGGCCCCAAGACGGGCAACGAGGGCCACGAGCGGCCTCCGAGCTGCCTCCAAAACGGTCCGAGAGGGCGCCGAGACGCCCAAAGATCGGCCCAGGACACCCAGGATGGCCTCACAACGGCCCAAGGAGGCCTCCAAGACGCCCCAAGAGGCCTTCAAGAGGGCCCCCAAGGGCCCCAAGAGGTGTTCTCGCCTTTTCGCCCTTCCAACGCTCCAAGACGGCCAAAGAGGCCCAAGACGGCCCAAGAGGCCCCCAGAACCACCCCAAAACGGCCCAAGAGGCCTCCAAGAGGGCACCAAGACTGCCCAAGAGCGACCCAAGACGGCCCAAGTGGCGCCCAAGACGGCCCAAAAGAGCCCCAAACCGGCAGCAAAAGGGGCCCAAGAAAGGGGGCACGACCGCAAAATTCAAGCTTTCCGCCCCAAGAGGAGCAGGCCCCAAGAGGCGCCCAGGAGGCCCCAAGAGGCGCCCAAGGGGCCCCCAAGAGGCCCAAAAGGGGGCCCGAGTCCCCGAAACGGCCCCCAAGAGGCCTCCAAACTGCCTCTAAGAGGCGCCTGAGAAGCCCCCCACGAGATCCCAACGAACACCCAATAGGCTTCATACCCACTACCCGGGCACATGTCGAGATGGACCGAAGACCACTAGATATCCCTCTTCCGAGGTCTCCTTGCACCACCGCGATGCGTCAGGAGGGGCCAAATCTGGACGGAGTAAGCCTGGACGGAGACCGAACACTACGCGCGGACCTTTTGCGCATCCTGCCAGGTGTAAACAAGTCTGGACGGAATAAGCCTGGACGGCGACCGAACACTATGCACGGATTTACTCCGCACGGATTTAGCATCCTCCGAATTGGATGGCGATGCGATGAAAAACTAAACTGGCGAAGGACATAAAATATGCAGCTGTGAACACCGTCGTTGTATGCATCGCATTCGGAGGAGCTCCCTGTGGAATCACGAAACGTGTGAGGGGTGTGCCAAAAATTGTCTGGTGGGCGCATGCGAAAGCAGCCACTGGGGATGTCAGACGAATCCCCTATGGGGCCAGCATGAGAGGTGTGCCGAAATAGGTAAGGTAAGCGCATGCGACCGCAGCCACTGGGACCATCAGCGGAGCTCGCTATGGTGACGCGAAACGTGTGATGGGTGCGAAATGGGCGCGGTGGGCGCATGCGAACGCAGCCACTGGCGCCTTCGGTGGAACTCCCTGTGGCGCCACGAAACGTGCGAGGGGTGTGCCGGCATGGGCGTGCGTGCCGCACGCGGGCGGTGGCACTGGGGCCTGCGGTGGAGCTCCCTACGGGGCCACGAAACGTGAGGAGCGTGCCGAGTTGGGTGTGCGTGACGCATGCGAGCGGTGGCACTGGGGCCTTCGGTACAGCTCCCTATGGAAGCCACGCAACCTGTGACGGGTGTACCGAAACGGGCTTGCGTGACGCATGCGGGCGGTGGCAGTGGGGCCTTCGCTGGAGCTCCCTATGGGGCCACGAAACCTGCGAGGGGTGTGCCGAAATTGGCGTGCGTGACGCGCGCGGGCGGTGCCGCTGGGGCCCTCGGTGGAGCTCCCTATTGGGCCACGAAACGTGCGAAGGCTGTGCCGACATGGGCGTGCGCGACGCATGCGGGCAGCGGCGGTGGGGCCTTCGGTGGAGCTCCCTATGGGGCCACGAAACGCGTGAAGGGTGTGCCGAATTGGGCGTGCATGACGCATGCGCGCGGTGGCAAAGAGGCCTGCGGTGGAGCTCCTTGCGGGGCCACGAAACGTGCGAAGGGGTGCGCCAAAATTCGCGCGCGCGACGCATGCGCGCGGCGGCACTGCGGCCACCGGTGGAGCTCCCCGTGGAGCCACGAAACCTGCGAAGGGGCGCACCCACATGGGTGCGCGCGACACATGCGGGCGGCAGCGCTCGGCGTCGCAGGCCATGAGCCCCTGCCTAACCTGGGACCAGAGCGGCACCTCACGGCGGTAGCACTTGGCCCTCGCAGCAAGCGGGCGCCACGAAGACGACGCGCCCCAGCACCCGCTCGACGCCACGGCCACTGGCACGGCCGAGCACGCGCGCAGCCAGCCGCGCGCGCCACAGCCGCGCAGCGGACGCGGAGAGGCGGGCCACCGGGGTGATGGACCACCCCAGCACCGCGCACTCGCCCTCGTCGTCGCCAAGGCACCTCGCGGGTCGCGACGAACCCCCGCCGCTTCAGCTCCGCCACGACGCGGGCCACAGCGCTGCGCACCGAGTCCGCGACGTAGCCGATGTTGACGAAATTGTCGACGCACACCAGGCGGCAGGCAGGGTCCAGCGACGGCGCCGGGCGACCATTGCGGAGACGGTCACCGTCATTGCAGCCAGCCAGCAGCCTCAGCAGCGCGCCCCAGCACACACTGGCAGCACCACGCGGCCCAGGACCAGCCCACGGGCACCACCCTCTGGCCCGGGTAGAGCCTGGCAGAGGCTTTCACGCCGGCACCTCCAGGGCACCCGATGCCAAGGGCGCCTGCGCGGACGGGCCTGAGGGCGAAGAACGAGCGCAGCTGCTCAGGCAGCCCCAGGCGGTAGAAGGCGCCCTTCAGGTCGGCGCCCTCGACGGCGAGCAGAGCGTCGCCCGTGGCCGGGCGCGCTCCGAGGAGCCCAAAAAAACACCTCATTGGAACGGCGGCAATCCGCGACCATGCAGAGTCGGCCACCTTTCTCGTCGACGAATAAGATCTCGGCCCTCGCGCCATCCCCCAGGTGGAGGTCGACGAGGTGCCGCCCATGCATTAGAAGAACGAAACTGGACCAGCACCGCCGATCTCGGAGAAGAGGGTCAGACTGCAGCACAGGCACTGAGCTACGCCGAAGACGCGCGGCAGCCTCGCTCGGATCAAGCACGCTCTGTAGAACGAACTGTCCGACCCTGGCCTGCCCGCCCCGCCCCCCCCCCCCCCCCCGCACTTCCGCCAGGGGACAGGCGCCGAGCTGACATCAGGCAAGGAGAGGAGCGCGGGGTCGTAGCTCCCGCGAGGAGACTGCTCGACATGGCAGGCCCCCCAGGTCACGCGAAGCTGCGCAAGCGCTTCTGCGAGGAAAAGCGACGGGAGCGGAGGGCCAAGAAACCGCGCAGACTCGCCAACGCGTGCGCGGCACGTGCTCCGAGCGAGCGACGGGCCCACATACCTAGCAGCGCGGCCACGACCACGCGTGAGAGATGGGCCACAACGCCAATTAAGTGAGCCCACGGCGAGAAGCACATCATTGCAGACAGCCCTTCTAGGACCAAGCCTCCGCCCGGTGTCTCTGGCGAGCGCAGTAGCAGCAGCCTTATCCAGCGGCCCCACGGCGAATGGGTAGGGCAGCCGCAAAATGCCCCGGGGCCGACCTCGTCCAAAATCGCGGGCGTCTTGAGCATGGGCAGGTTCACGACGGATGCCCCGGCGGAGAAGTGATGCATCCGCGCAGGCCGCCCCTTCCGGGGCCAACACGGGCGCCAGGCTCAGCCACTCTTGCGCCTGGACTCCCGATCCTCGCGGGCCGGGCGCAGACTCTCGCGCAGCTCAGCCTCCTTCTCGACGTCGACGCGGACGTGCTCGATCATATCAGGCGACACCATCACCGAAGACGTCGAACGAGACACCCCCGAGAAATCAGCCTGCTCCTCCAGACTCAGATTACCACCGACGCCTTTGCTTTCGGCGTCCTTGGCCTTGCCCCAGCGCGCAGACCATATGGTCTGGGGCCTCCTGAACTTCATCTCGATGCTGAGCAGATTCGTGCCATCCAGGCGGTCTTGGCATGTCGCGGCCTTGATATGCTGGCAGAGCTGGTAGTGCTGTAGGACTCCCCAATATGTGGCGCCCAACTTACATATCTGGCGTCAGTGCTCGCGATGGCCCTCTATGCCGAGACCTTCCCGCTGCAGGTAACTCATGCACCACGCACCGGTCCTGGACCCAGGCAAAGCCCAGTCCGATCCGAAATCCTCCTGACGTGTCATCTCGATCATCTTGTGCCAAAGAACGCCCCTGTGGCCCTGGGCGTCGCGCGCGATGGGTAAGATCCTCGCGTCGGCATCCACCGCCTTCCTGAGGAACCCCTCCAGCGCCACGGGCGGCACCAGCTCCACGAAGAGACCGTGGCCGCCGAGCAAAAAATGGATGTCCCGGCCCCACACCCGGGCAGCTGTGGGACGTGGCCCGGGACCTCGTCGCCGATGCGATAGCCACCCTCGCAGGCAGCAGCACGCCACACACCGGCAGGATCAGCCCCGCCCGCCGCCACGCCTGCCGGCACCGTGCCACGCAACAGCCCGAGCGCCGGGCCGGCAGGCGCCAGGGGCCGCGGCCAACCCACCTCCTGGAGCCACCAGCGCGCGCAGGTTCGCCAGCAGCCCGAAGTCGCCGACCGCCTGAGCGCGAGCACGGCACTCCGCGACGGCTATCTGCTCCGCCGCCGCGGTGAGCTGGGCCAGCTCGGCGTGTGTCGGCTCCGCCCGGAACCGATACACCTGGTTGGACGCTATGCCGGGCGGCGGCAGGTCGAAGGCTCCGAAGCGCACCGCATGCACATCCGCATTGTTGGCGAATGCCACGATGTACAGGTCGCCATCCGCGGTGTCGATGACATGATCACCCTCAGACAGTGCCACCCGCCCCAGATTCAAGTGCTGGGGCCACACCACCTCGCCTGCGTAGAAGTCGTATGCCCACCGTGTCGTCGCTGCCGCCGCCATCACCGAGACCAGCCAGGCTACGGTTGCGAGGGCGAGCGTCGCGGCGCACCGCCGCGCAGCAGCAATCAAGCCAGGCCGCCGCGAGCAGGAAGCCGAGCGCGCCGCCCAGCAGGCCCGAGGCCAGCGCGCGGTAGTCGAGCACGACGTCGGCCGTCACCGCCGCAGCCGCCGCGGGGGCCGCTGCCTCGGGCGCCGAAGCCGCCGCCGCGGGCTCTGGCGCACGCCGGACAAGCGGGCGCCGGGCAAGTGGCAGGCGCCGGGCACACCGCGGGCCCCACCTCCGCGCACGGAGGGATCGCAGGGCAGTGCAGCGAGCACCCAGGACACGGCGCGGGAGCCCCGCACGCGAGGGAGTAAGTGGGGCACGCGAGACACGATGGCGCCTGCGGGCACCTGTGAGGTACGAGACCACGCCCGTTAGAGCGTGGTCAGTGACCCTCTCCCACATCACTGAAGACTTGAGCGACATCAAACGGCGCCGGACCCCGAGGAGGCACCAGAAACCCGTGAAATCACAACAAGCATCATCGTCATCATCATCATCATCGTCGTCATCATCATCATCATCATCATCATCATCATCATCATCATCATCAGCATCATCTTCATCATCATCATCACCACCATCACCACCATCAGCAGCAGCATCAGCATCAGCATCAGCATCAGCATCAGCATCATCATCATCATCATCATCATCATCATCATCACCATCACCATCATCAGCATCAGCATCAGCATCAGCATCATCATCATCATCATCATCATCATCATCATCATCATACTCATCATCATACTCATCATCATCAGAATCGTCATGAGCATCATCCTCATCATAATCGTCAGCATCATCATGAGAATCATCAGCATCAGCATCATCCTCATCATCATCATCAACATCATCATCATACTCATCATCATCATGCTCAGGGTCAGTAGCAGCATCATCAGCATCATCATCAGCAGCATCAGCATCAGCATCATCATCATCAGTATCAGCATCAACATCATCATCATCGTCATCATCATCATCCTCGTCATCGACATCATCATCATCATCACCATCGTCAGCATCATAATCATAATCATCATCAGCGTCAGCATCAGCATCAGCATCATCATCATCATCATCATCGTCATCATCATCATCATCATCACCATCATCATCATCAGCATCAGCATCATCATCATCATCATCATCGTCGTCGTCGTCGTCGTCGTCGTCATCATCATCATCATCATCATCATCATCATCATCATCATCATCATCATCATCATCGTCATCGTCATCGTCATCGTCATCGTCATCAGCAGCAGCAGCATCCTTCATCATCACTCTCCTCCGTCATCTTTCTCTGAAGAGGAGGGACGGAGGAGCAGGGAAGAGGGGGGAGGAGGAGGAGGAGGAGGAGGAAAAGGAGAAGGGAGGAGGGAGACTGGAGACTGGAGACGGCGCCTGTGTCGTCCTGGGTGGACGGCCCAATGCGGTGCTAAGCGTTGGCGCCTTGGCACCAGCATCTCTCAAAAAGTGGAAAATTATTCTGGCCTACTGAATCGACAACTATCCCTGGGTTGCGTCGCAGACAGTCGTCCAGCGTGAGGCACGTAAGAGTGCCCACAATTTGAAGTCTGCTGCTGCTGATTTCCAATCCATTGCGCAGGTAGCACGAGGGGCGGAAAGCGAAGGAAGAAGAGGTGGGGCCTGCAATAGCAGCAGGAACAAGAGGAGGGAGGAGAAGGAAGGAGAAGAAGCCCCTGCTCCCAGATCTGTGCCGTCCTGGCCGTACTTGGCCTGGATAACTTTCTTCAGGGTGTGGTACACCTCGGAGGATCCGAAGGTGGCACACTCCGACGTGGGGGGAAGGAGGGAGGCAGTGCAGCATGTTCACATCGCGATGACGTCGGCGGTGGTTCTAACACGACGTGCACCGTTCAACCTTCAACGCGGCTTCCGCGGCTTACCAGTAGTGAAGCTCGATCGATGTCGGCCGAGTCTGGGCCACCGGCCGTGTTCAACCTTGAACACCCGCGCCAGGGTTGCCGCCGCGACAACGCGGTGCGAGCCCACTGTAGCGGGAGAAGAAGCAGGCGGGACAGCGGTGGATTACAACGCTTTTTGCTAGCAGCGTTTCGATCTATGGTTCTCACACAGGGGGCTTCCAGGAGGGCTAAACGTATACAGAATCTGTCCTAGGGGGGTCCTGGCAACCTTCACAGACTCTGCGTCCCAGCTGCCGGCCAGCTGCCTGCACAGGAGTTCTATGCAAGATCCCCCTAGGGAGTCTGTGATTGAATGATAAAGAAGTCTCGAGCACAAGACTCGTTCGTGAGTGAAGTGTAAGGGGGTCTCGATCGCGAGCTTGGATTGTTCGCAGGCCTCTCCCAGGAGCCTCACAGGACCCTCTGAGGACACACTCTCAGGACACTCTCAGAACCCTCTCAGGACCTCTCAGGAACCTATCGTGAGCGGAGCCTCTAAACACCCCATCAGAAGCCTCTTGGGAACCTCAGGACCCTCCTTCCAGGACCCTCCTGGGAGCCTCTCAGGAGCTTCTCGGGAGCCTGTCAGAAGCCCCCTGACAGCCTCTCAAAAATTTCTCGAGAGCCTCTCGAGAGCCTCTCCTGAGCCTCTCCAGAGCCTCTCGAGACCCTCTCACGCGCCTCTCTAAGTCCTCTTCAGGACCCTCGCAAGACCTCGCGGGACCCTCTCGGGACCCTGTCAGGAACTTCCCAGGACCCTCTCGAAAAACCCTCTCGGGAGCATCTCGCCTTCCTGCTATCTGGGCGCCCTGCTGAGACTGTGATTATTCCTTGGGCTCCCGGGGCGAGCCCCGTCACCGCGGCCAGGGCCGCCTCGAGATCATGGCCACATCGCACCCAGCGGAGGTCGGGAAGCCGAAGAAACGGGAGAGAAGAGAGGGAGGCGGGGCAAAGGGGGGAACGGATCGGATCGGATCGGCCTTCCACGAAGGCTATATGTGGCCCCGCAGCCCACGGGGAGACGTGGGGGAGAGGAGCAGAGGGGTAGAGGCAAGCTAGGTGCGCTCGCGTCATATCCGACATCCTACCCCTCCCTCCCATCCCCTACCATGGCGTAGATCCCCTCTCTACTCGCACAGTCGGATGTCGACCAGGGTCATGATCCCGAAAGGGTACGCGATGCATTATAGAGCACGGCATGGCATGGCGTAGAAGAGCACCGCAAAGCGTAGTATCAACCTATCATTGCATTGCATGCCGTGGCATGGCACGGGAAATGACGCCAACGCTGCAGCGGGAGCACGAGTCGGAACGAGCGGAAGCGCGGAAATGAGGCCAGCGCTGCAGCGGGAGCACGATTCGGAACGAGCGGAAGCACAGAAATGAGGCCAGCGCTGCAGCGGGAGTACGATTCGGAACGAGCGGGGCCCGAAAATGAGGCCGGCGCCTCAGCGAGAGCAGGCGAAAACCCAACTCCGGGGAATCCTGTGTGTAAAAAAACAATACGCGGGGGGGGGGTCGGCCACTTTCAAACCGTCATCAGGGGAAGAGGGAGAGTAGTATTCAGATTGAGTAATTGTACAGACAGGGGCGGAGGGTGAGAAAGGGAGAGAAAGGGGGAAGGAGGAGCCCAAAGGGGGACACCCATCGAAGATCCTCGATCCTCAATACTCATCCTCCTCCTCCTCCTCCTCCTCCTCCTCCTCCTCCTCCTCCTCCTCCTACTCCTCCTCCTCCTGGCGTGCCCCGCGGGGCGCGCGCGCGCGCGCGCGCCCCGCCGCCCGGGGGAGGGCGCGTGCGCCTCCGCGCCGATCTGCAGCGCCTCCCGGAAGGAGGAGGCCCCCACTGGCAGGACCATGAACTCCTCGCGGCGACGACGACGAAGACGACGGCGACGAAGACGACGACGACGACGACGACGACGACGACGACGACGACGACGACGACGACGACGAAGAAGACGACGACGACGACGACGACGAAAAAGAAGACGACGGCGACGACGACGACGACGACGACGACGACGACGGCGGCGGCGGCGACGACGACGACGACGAAGAAGACGACGACGACGACGACGGCGGCGACGACGACGACGACGACGACGGCGACGACGAAGCGCGCCCCTGCACGTCGGGCTGTCCTGGACGGGCAGGCCGTTGCCGGCGTGGCTGCCGCCGTTGATCACGTTGAAGGCCGGCACGGGCAGCACGTACTTGTCCTGGGGAAGGGGGGGCGGGTGGAAGAGCCCGGGCGTGACGAGCGAGCCAGCCGAGCGACCAGAAGAGACGGGACGTGCGCGAGACTCACACGAGCGACGAGCGACGAGCGAGCCAGCCGAGCGACGAGAAGAGACGGGACGTGCGCGAGGCTCACATGGCGACCTCGCGCCGTGGCGTGCGCGGAGCGCCGGCGTGGCACACCACAGGGGAGACGAGGGCGCCGAAGCGCGCGGCTGTCTGCGGGCAGCTCACGGGCGCATTGTCGGCGCGGCCAGGCCGGGCGAGGGACGAGGGTTATGTTGCTCCCATCGTAGTTGAGGACCGCATCCCAGAAATAGTTTCGAGCACCCAGAAAAGTATCGAGTGAGTGTCGAGAGAATGTCGAAACGGTGTCGAAAGAGTGTCTCCCAGGGCCCGACACGTGAAAACCCTCGAGTTTGGGGGTGTTTTCTTGGTGCTTGAAATTCTTTCTGGCGGTCAAGGCTAGAGTAGGTTGGAACATCATAAGACAAGGGAGACAGACTCGGCCAGGCGGAACTCGGCCAGGCGGAGCTCGGCCTGGCCGAGTTTCTCCTGGCCTAGTTCAGTTGCTGCCCACGGAAGGAGCCCAGACGCCCGGCGGCGCGCGCAAGGGGTTCTCAGCAGGCGCTGGCCCTACATCTACAGGCAAGCCTCGCGCCTTCTAAGAAGCAGGGGTGCTTCTAAGCCTGCCCCCGTCCCATCTGCCCGCCCCCCCGCGCGTGGCCGAAAGGTCGGCATGCACCGCGGCAGCCACGCGGCAGGAACGGCAAGTTCGTGTCGCGACGACCCCGGCGTTGGTTTCTGACGCCGCGTGGATCGTCCAACCTCGAACCATCGGCGGCTTTTCGCTCGCCAGGTCGATCGCAGTCGCCGTTCAGCCGCGATTGCTCGCGGCGGGGTCGCCGCCGCGTCGACACGACGCGAACCTACCGTACGAAACTGCAGCGCGTGGGCTCTCCTCCGAGGGCCGCTCGGGCGGGCGCGCCCGGGAGCAGGCCTCCCCTGTCGTGCGAGCTACCTCCCGGCGCGGGTCGCCTGCAGACCTGACCGCTCGGCTGTCGAGCACCTCGGCCGCGCATGCGGCTCCGCGGACCAGGGGCGTCGCTGGGGGACGCCTCTGCGCGCGGCGGAGGTGCGCCCAACGAACCAGCGCACCCCCGTGCCCGTTGGGCGTGGCTTAATGGGGGGGTCATAGATGGGGGGGTCAGAAACGGTTCCCTTTCCTGGGAGGAGGGAGGAGGGGGGGGGGGAGAGAGAGAGAGAGAGAGAGGAGGAGGAGGAGGAGGAGGAGGAGGAGGAGGAGGAGGAGGAGGAGGAGGAGGAGGAGGAGGAGGACGAGGAGGAGGACGAGGAGGAGGACGAGGAGGAGGAGGAGGAGGAGGAGGAGGAGAGGCCCACGCTTGGGCCCCTCCAGGGCCCACTTGGGGGCCGCCGCCGTCCCCTCGCCGTCCCCTCTCGCCTCGGCTCGCCTCCTCCCCTCGCCGGAGGACGCCAGCCAATCTGCAGGGGCCCTGGGACACACAGATAGAGACACAGATACAAAGATTCAACGTATTTTCCCGTAGTTTCTGGGCTTCTGTCTTCCCCCCCACTGCCCATATTTTCCCATATTTTCTGGAAGCGGAGCGCGCTGAGTCCGCCGGCGGGCCGGCGGGCCCCTCAGGAGCAGCGCGGGTGGGCCGGAGCCCGCTTACTGAATGTGGTGGAGGAAGTCGTCTTCCCAACTGTCCCAAAGTATCTGATCAAATGCATAGTCCAGCCAATGTTGAGTGACTCCCCCAATTCGACTTTGTACAAATTGGGATATGTCGTCGCACCGCCGCTCGCGTGGTCTTCCATGCCTGCGCGGTGCTATCCGAGTGTCGTGGACTTCCGGCTCCCACGCTGAATCGACAATCAAGTGTGTCCGTGTGTTTTTTCCCCTTCCTGTCCAAGGCGTACCTTCGCCTGTGCAAGCTCTTCGGCACCGCCTGCACCCCGCGCCCTCCGGCCGCCTGAGGCCCCGCCCGCCCGCGCCCTGTCTCCCCAATCAGTGCTTTGCGCGCCCCGCCTAGCTCCTAACCGGAAGAGGCCCGCTTTCGACCCGCAGACCAAAAAAGGGCGTTCCCCCCTCCTGATCATCGTGCACCCACGCCGATCCTGGCCGCGCCCATCCGGGGGCCCAGGATCGGCGGCCCGCCTCGGCGGCGAGCGAGCGGGGGGGTGATCGAGAGGGAGAAGGCGGCCCGCCTGGCGGATCTGCTCGACTCCAGTTCGACCCCAGGTCGACTCTGGCTCGCCTCGAGTTTTGGCTCGAGCTCGACTCGGGCTCGACTCGGGTTCGACTCGAGGCCGACCGAAGTTCGACGCAGCCTCGACGCACGAGCGGAGCGAGAGCCTCCAGGAAGGTCCCCAGAAGGAGCATCCGACGAGCGAGGGGGGGGAGGTGAGCAGGAGGAGGCCTTCTCAGAAGGCGGCGGGGCTTCTCAGCAGGCAGGCCGGGCGGGCTCCGAGCCTTCCGAGAAGGCGCCCGCCCCTTCTCGCTTTCCCCCCGTCGCTCGCCGCCGACCATCGAGCGCGCGGGCCGTCGCCACCGGCGAACCTACCAAGACAGCGAAAGCCTGGTGCGCCTGCCGACGAGGCAGCGCCCAAACGGCCGCCGCACACGCGGCACACGGCTCGAGGCCACGGTCGGCGTGGGCGCCCGTGCCCCACGAGCGGCGAACATGCCCTGAGATCCTAGCGTTGCACGTTTTTCACAGCGGGCGTTTGCGCCCAGTGGCGGGCCCGGGGACCCTCACAGGTCGATCTGGCCCGAAAAATGCCGCAGAGCGAGGGGGTCCATGTCCCTGGTGGTGATGTGTTGCGATGTTGCAATTTTTCGGCAACGTCGGATCACTTCTGTATCCGTATCCGAGCCCTCGCCGTCTGGCTTCCAGGGCGCGGTCCCGCGGGATGCGCGCTCGCACGGACACGTCCCGCGGAGGGCACGCGGGGCAAGGCGCCCCACAGCAGCGGGGCTGCGGCCCGGGGGCCCGCAGCCGAGAGGCCGCGGACGCGGAGATGCCCGCCGCCCACGAGGAGCGGGTGCTCGTGCCAGAGGACGTTGCACTGCGACGTGCGGGCCCGCGAGAGCCCAGCTCGTCTGCCGGCGACGAGGCCAGCAAGGGCGGCAGCCCCGACAACGGCGGCTGGCCCAGATGAGCCAGCCGTGGCACGGCGCGGCGGCGCCGCCGTGCCCAGGGAGCCCGCAGCGGCCTGGGGCCGGCTGGCCCTTCTGGGCGCGGCCCTGTCCGCCGTCCCCCCCCTCAGCTGCTTCGCCCTCCAGAGGGCCTGAACTGGATGCCGCCCGAGGAGCTCCTGAGGGCGAAGGCGCACAGGACCCTCGCCAGAAACTCCGAGGAGGCGACCTGCAACCTGAGCGAGACGGGGCTCGAGCTCCAGAGAGGCTGACGGGGCAAGGCGCGGAGCTCTGGGAGGCCCACGAGGCGAGGCACGCCGAGGCGGTTGAGCGAAGAGCCGAGCCGCAGCGACTCCGCCGCCCTGCTCTCTGCGAGCAGACCAGCAACCGTGCGCTGAAGATCGGCGTTTGGGGCCGCAGCGCTTCCTCGGCCAACCTGGCGCTGGCCAGGGCACCCACCGATCCGTGACAAACGAACACATCTGTATCCGCACGTACACGTCGGTCGGAAGAAGTAGGTAAAAACATGATTTAGGAAGGCGGATAAAGTGGATTGGGTCCAGGCCCTCCCAGAGAACAACAAAACACAGCAAAAGCATGCCGATTCTTGAAGTAGGAAGGCGCTTGGAGTAGATTGGAATCTGGGAATCCAAAAATACATACTTTCAGCGACCGGCGTGTACTCGCGGCCTGGATCTCCGAGGCGCGATGCCACGGATGCTCGGTCCCAGGGGTCCTGGCGCCTGGCGACCACCCGCCCATGGGTCCACCTCGGCACCGGCGTCCGCCGCCCGCCCTCGGCGCTGCCGACGATGTGGTGAAGGGCAGGGTCGCGCTTCTGTTTGGAGCTCGCGCCCGCTTCTGCGAGTGTGCCGCCTCGCGCTCCCCCACGGCCTTCCTGGTGTCACGGCACATCCAAGCCACGTACGGCTCGTCCACCTCCCCCGCAGAGGCTTCGGGGATGGACAGACCCCCCTTTAGTAAAACGTGGTTTAGTGAAAACGACCTGAGGCCCAAACCTGGCGGGCGCAAGCCTGGAAAATAACGGCCACGGCGCCCTCTCGAGAACCGAAAACGGACAATTCACTAATCGACGTGTCACTGTTTGGGGTTCTGTCCACCCCCGAAGGCTGCTGCCACCAGTGCGTCCACGCAGAGATGCGTCCGCGGGGCCGCAGCCGAGGCGTCGGGGCCAGCGAGGCCGAGGGCACGGACACGACTCCCGCCCACGACCAGGGCCAGATCCGTCTGGGCTTAAGTCGGGCGTGTCCCCCTACAGGGGGATTTTCGACGAAAATTGAAAAATACCCCAAAAATTATCAAAAAACATGCCAAAAATAGTCTGGGGACTATTTTTGGAGTATTTGTTACCTTTTGGGGGTACCTGGGGGGTATTTTTTATTTTTCGTCGAAAATTCCCCTGTAGGGGGACAGGCCCGACTTAAGTCTGGGCCGATGGGCTCGGAAGGGCACACGGGCTCGCACGGATGCCCAGCGCCTTGGGCCGCGCGGCATCACGAGCCGCGCGCGACTGCTCCGGTGCTGGCCAGCGGCCCCTGCCGGAGAACCGCACGGCCGAGACGTCGCGACGGGCAGCGCCACCAGACACTGACTGGGTAGTCGAAGCCAATCTGGCGCCAATCTGGCAGGCCCAATCTGGCAAACGGGGGCAATCTGGCGAGGGAGCCAACGCGAATCCAGTCTGGCGAATAACCCAAATCATCCAGTTTGGCCGGGCCAGATTGACCCTTGGGGCCCAATCCAATCTGACAGTCTGGCCTTCGACTACCCAGACTGAACACCCAAGCCACGATCACGTGGAACTGCTGCCAGCTTGCAGCGCGCAGACTGCAAGCGCATGTTTCCCCAGCCGCGCCATCGCTCGGACGTCCATGCCCCGTGCCTCGTGCGACGTCGTGCGCTTTTGTGTCGGTATGCTCCTCGTGGCCATCGCTGCGAACAGAGGCACACGTCCGAGCGATGCCAAGCAGCTGGATTCTAGGAGGAGGAAGAAGAAGAAGAAACAAAAAGAAGAGGAAGAATACTAATAAGAAGAAGAAGAAGAAGAAGAAGAAAAAGAAGAGGAGGGCGGAGGAGGAGGAGGAGGAGCAGGAGGAGGAGGAGGACGACGACGAGGAGGAAAACGAGGAGGAGGAGCAATCAGCAGGAGCAGGAGGAGGTTTTCCAGCGCGGGCGCCCCTCGACAGTTCGGCCCCCGAGCCTTTCCCCCCGGCGCGTCCTCGACCAGGCTTTCTGGAGTGAGGCCCCGCCGTTGCAGCGAGAAGCCTCCCAGGGGCCCCCAAGGGGCGAACAACGCCACGCTCGCATCTCGAATGATTGACGACTGCGACGGCGGAAACGGCGGCGGCGACGGCGGCGGCGACGACGGCGACGACGACGACGGCGACGGCGACGGCGACGGGGACGGCGACGGCGACGGCGACGGCGACGGCGACGGCGGTGGCGGCGGCGGCGGCTGTGGCGGCGGCACCGCCCGCGCGTCCGAGCTCTTGCCCGCCAGCTCCGCGACCCTCTGGTACAGCGTCTGGCGGCGCCGCGGCGGCGGCGGCGCCGCCGCCAGGCAGGAGGAGGGAGGACCATCGTAGGGCCCCAATACTTGGACAAGCGCGTTCCACTGCTCGCAGAGTAACTGCTCGCAAATGGCCTGGATCCGCCATGGGCGGTTTCCGATACACTGCATCGATGCAGGACGTCTGCGAGTATGCGCATTTGCGGGTAGTGGAACGCGCTCGGTCGACGGTTTCATCCTCAAGGGTTCTTGTCGATATCTGGGACGGCAAGAGATGGATCTGGGAAGAAATGCTGTCCTGGGAGAAGGGGTCGAGACCTTCGGAGCCCGAAAACTGCGAAAAAAAAATGCCAGGAATCTGGAGGAGGGAGGATCGAGGAACGAGGGGCGCGGATCGAAGGTCTTGGAGGGTTTCCACCCTTTGGTAAAATCCAGGGAACACCTGAGACCACCAGGGACCTTGGGACCACCTGAGGAAGGAGAAAGCGGGGGGGGAGGAAAAGAGGAGGAGCAGGAGTGGGGGAGGAGAGGAGGAGGAGGAAGAAGAAGGGAGGAGGGACGACACGACATGCCAGCAGGCAGAGGCAGTGAGGAGGCAGCAAGGCGTACCCCGGAGGAGGAGACTGTTGGCTTGCGCCCCGAGCAGGAGGAGGCGGCTGCGGATGGCCCCGCCAGCCTGGGCCCCAGACAGGAGGAGGCGGCGTGGCAGCAGGCAGAAGCAGAAGAGGCTGCCCAGGACGACAGGGCTCGTCCTAAGCACTGTTTTCCGTGTTCGTCTTATTTTCGGTGCTGCCAGTTCTGTCTGCGTTCCGCCTGTGCTGCGAAACGACGTCGAAACGAAAACACAGCCCTCGGAATCGCTAAAAAATCACCACTTGGCTCGAGCCGGGCAGCACGGGCAGGAGGGGAAGTCGAAGGAGGAGAAGTCGGAGGAGGTGGCGGTCAAGCTTGCTGTTGTCACTGCCTGGCGGGCGCAAACTCCCAGGCAATCTTCTTCTGAAGGGGCCCTGGGACACACAAATGAATACACACAGTTTCCCATATGTTCTGGGTTTTTGTCTTCCCCCCCACACACACTTCCCATGTTTTCCCATCTTTTCTGGGGAATCGAGGATGAATGGTGTCTGTGTGTGCTTCTCTCCCTCCTGATCTTCTTCTGCTCCTCCTGCCTCGGCAGGCAGGCCGCAGCCGAGCGGCGGCAGGACGGGCACGCGGAAGGGGGTCGAGGAGGAAACACACCACCATCAAGGCCTCCTCCTCCTCCTCCTCCTCCTCCTCCTCCTCCTCCTCCTCCTCCTCCTCCTCCTCCTCCTCCTCCTCCTCCTCCTCCTCCTCCTCCTCCTGGCTCAGGTCCTGGCGCACTGGAAAACACTGCACTGGCCCGGCGAGGAAGCCCACCCGCTCTCTCGAGGCAGACGCCCCCCCCCCCTCGCTCGCCGCCGAGCTCCTCGGCGAGGGCAGGGCTTCGGATCTCCCCGCCCGAGCCGAGAGCTGAGGACCCACCAGGCCACCCCAACCCCACCCGGAGGCCTGCATTTCGGGTCGGGGGGGTACTCCAGATTTCGTAATAAAAGGGAGGGGGTCTCAACCCTCCCAGACGAGAAGTTTTAGACCCCCCCCCCGTGGGAGAACCCTACAAAACATCGTCCCCAGACCCCCCCGGCCCTCCAAGATGGCCTGGAAGAGACCCCCCCCCGAAATGAGACCCCCCTCCCTTTTATTACGAAATCTGGAGTACGATCTTCATGCGTATGTCTCATCCATGTTCCCCGACCCGCTCCCCGCTCGGCGGCGAGCGAGGGAGGGGAACGAGGAGGAGGAAGCCTTCTCTCAGCAGGCGGCGGGACTCCTGAGAAGCCCTCGCGCCTCCAGAAAAGTTGTTTTTGTGTTTATCTTTTCGTGGGAGGCTCAGACAACCTCTCAGAAGGCCGGGGAAGGGCCGAGCCGTCTGAGAAGGTCTTCTCCTTCTCTTTTCCCCCCCTCGCTCGCCGCCGACCCACTGGAAACGGAGGGCAAATCGGGGCCTGCGGGCTGGGTTGGGGATGGCTGGGTGGGCGGTGAAGATTGGATGCTCATTCTGGGGGCCTTCCTGGAGGCACTCGCTCCACTGGTGCGTGGAAGCTGCGTCGAAGGCCCGCCGATTTGGGTCGATCCTGGGTGGATCCGGAGTCGAACGCAAGTCGAGCCTGCGTCGAACACGAGTCGAACTCGAGTCGAATTTGCGTCGAACTGGCGTCGGACAGATCCGTCAGGTGGGCCCTAGGGAGGTCCCCAAGAGGAGTAGGAGGAGGGGGAGGAGGGGGAGGAGGGGAGGAGAGGAGGAGGAGGAGGAGGAGGAGGAGGAGGAGGAGGAGGGAGGAGGAGGAGGAGGGGGGAGGAGGAGGAGGAGAGGAGGAGGAGGAGGAGGAGGAGGAGAGGAGGAGGGAGGTAGGGGGAGGAGAGAAGGTAGGAGGAGGAGGAGGAGGAGGAGGGGAGGAGGAGGAGAGGAGGAGGAGGAGGGGGAGGAGGAGGAGGAGGAGAAGGAGGAGGAGGAGGAGGAGGAGGAGGGGAGGGGGAGGAGGAGGAGAGGAGGCTCTGATGGAGATGCTCCCAGGGGCGGGCGGGCGGCGAGCTGCGGGCGGCGAGCCGCGGGGGGCGAGGCGCACGCGAGGCCTGTGGCGGCCGCCCCTGCCGAGCCGCGCGCGCCCTCGCGCGCGCGCGGGGCTGGCCTGGTTCTTGCAGGCCGCGGCGGCCCGGCAGACCGCCTGGGCGGGCGGAGGGAGAAAAGCAAGGGACCCAGGGACACACACACACACACACACACATATATATATATATATATATACACACACACAAGACTGCAGTGGCACTTCGCGCCATGCACCTTGGTCCTTGAAGTTTGGCATGCAGGCGGAATATCAGGAAGGTCAAGCCGACAACTTAGCGATGACTCCTGGTTGCTTTTTCCGGCATCGCCGCTATAATAATGTTAGTCGTCATCCTTCCTCCATGCTTCTTTTTCCTTATTTTCGCCATGCCCTGCGCATTCTCCCCATCCTCCTCAGCTCTTTTTTGCGGAGGCTCATCCTTGAGCCTCTAGGGGCCTCACAAAAGTTGTTTCAGGCATTCTGGAGGCCTTCTGGAGACCTCCTGGGCGTATTCTGGGGGCCTCCGGGGGCTTCCTCGGGCCACCCTGCCTCCAACCGCGGTCTCCCTGAACGACCGAATCACGATTTGGAATTCTTCGGAGGGCGTCTTTGGGTCGCTCCCAGGGCGCTTCCGTGCTCACGCAGCTCCTCGGCCTCCCCCGCCGCCTCATCCTTCCCGTGCTTCTGCGTCGTCGTCCTCGCCGTGGGCCCTCGGCCCTCGCCTGGCCCCCTCGTCCTGCCCCGACCCCGCCCCGGCGCGGCGGGGGGCGGGCCATGCTGACTGCCAGGATGGCGTTCGCTCCGAGCTTCTCCTGGCCGGGGGGGAAGGAAAGGCGAGACCCTCGGTGCGGCACGCCGCAGGGCTCCGGAAGGAGGCGGGGCGGGAGGCGGAGAAGCGGCCCAGCCTCGCGGGGGGCAGGCACGGCCCTGAGGGGGGCTGCCGCCTGCGGGGGGGGGTCAGGGAGGGCGTTGGCGCAAGCACGGATCCGGGCGAGGATACGATCGGAATCGGCACGCGGCGACAAGCAGAATGACCATGCTGCCGCGTGGAGCGGATCCACCCACAAAAGATGATGCTCAAGGCACAGGTGCATGCGGTGATAGTCATGCAGGGACAACCAGGTCTGGACACGGGCGGGAGAAGGCAGAGTGCAGCCCGGCGTCCGCTCCTTGCTCCAGCCCCACTCGTTCTGGGAGCCATCTAGCTCCTGAGCGCGAGGCAAGCTCTTGAGCGTTGCGCGGCGGGGCATGGGGAAGAGTCGCAGAGGGGTCGGGGCGAAGGGGAGAGGGAGGGACAGGGGGAGGGGGAGGGGGAGAGGCAGAGAGTGGCGGCGGGAGGGGGTGCGCAGAAAGAAACCAATGGGAATGAAGCTCCTAACCAGGGCGGGGTCCCTGGGGTGGGCTCGGTCACGGGGAGACCCGTGACGGCCTGCGACGTCTAAGCAGTCCTCTGAAGCAAGATGCGGCGTGGAAGAAACAAAACAGGCGCAGCTTTCGTGTTCGTGAACGCCAGTGACATCTGAGCAGTCCTCTGATGCGAGGTGCGGCGTGGAAGAAACCAGATAGGCGCAGCTCTGCCGTTCGACCATGGATCCCTGGTTACCCATCGGCCGTCGGCGGAGGAGGAAAAGGAGGGGAAGGAGGAGGAGGAGGAGGCGGAGGAGGAGGAGCAGGAGGAGGAGGAGGAGCAGGAGCAGGAGGAGGAGCAGGAGGAGGAGGAGGAGCAGGAGGAGCAGGAGGAGGAGCAGGAGGAAGAGGAGGAGGAGGAGCGAGCGAGCACGCCTGGGAGAGGCAGAGGGGAGCGCTCCCGCTCAGATCAGGCCGCTCAGGAGCAGCAGGAGAAGGCTGGACCCCTGGTGACCTGGCTACCCAGGGGTCGTCGGCGGCCTTCGTCGGCCTCTGGCGGTCTTCGGCGGTCCTCGGCCGTCCTCGGCGCTGAAGCCAGGAGGCTGTGTTCCACAAGGGCGGTCAGCATCGAGCACTCCTCCCTCCTCCTCCTCTCCTCCTCCTCCTCCTCCTCCTCCTCCTCCTCCTCCCTACTCCCTCCCTCCTCCTCTCTTTCCTCTCTCCTCCTCCTCCTCCTCCTCGCAGCTCGCTCCTCCTCCTCCTCCTCCTCCTCCTCCTCCCCCGACTTCCTCGCGGACTGAAAAAAATTGTTTAGGCATTCGACCATGGACCCCCTTGTTACCCACACAGCTTGGCCCCGAAGGCCGAAGCAGGGGCCGCCTGGGGCGGCCCCGGCGCTTCCGGAGAGACCCAGGGTAGTGCGTGCAGCTGCCGCTCGAGAGCCTGCAAGAGTCAACGAGCACCTCCGGGAGCCCTGCGCCGACGCCTGCGCCTGCGCGTGCGCACGGGTGAGCAGTCCTGGACCTGCGCCTACAGAACTGTGCCCGAGAGGCTCCAGGACACCTGAGCCGCCCGACCTCGTGGGTTTCGCGCCGCGGGAAGCGGACAGCGAGAGGCGACTGCCCCTGGAGGAGGGGAGAGCTCCGCTGTGCGACCCCCCGCCCGCGAGGCGCGACAAGCGCGGGCAGCTTCTCGCGCCCCCCCCCCGCGGGTGACCCGGCCGTCGGGGCTCGCCGACCATGCTCCCTGAGTCGTGTCGCACCGGCGGGCAGAATCCCGTCTGGCCGATGTTCTGCTTATGGAGGGCAGAAGGTCCACCCCAAGAATAACAACCCCGACGCGCGAAGCCGTGTAGTAAACGCACTCACAGAGGGAATCGACCAGGGCAGGGCCGCTGCGTAAACGCCCAGGGCCGTTTAGGAATTGCCAACTATCGAGTCCGCGTGGTTTTTCCTCCCTTGACTGCTGGCCCCATGCCCAGACATCTGATATCGTGAAATCCTCAACGCGCGGTCCCCGACGAGCTCAGCCACATCACCAGGGCCTGATTCTCGTCCCGAGTCCCCTCTTGACGGTCCCGAGGCCAGGAAAGCCGAAAGCGCGCCGAAAAAAACACCGTGGCAACACGATTGTTGCTGCGTCGCCCCGATCTGAAGGTACAAACTCTCGGGCCTCGTACATCATCTTGTCAAGCTCGGCCTGCTCCAGGACGTTCTTGCCTGCACCCCGGGCGGGCGGGCCGCCGACGGCTACGAGCGAAACCCCCAGGCCAGTCTATACGCGGCCCTCAGGTGGAAGCGTGAACGCGGCCCCCGGGTTGAAGCGTGACCCCCTGGAGAGCCCGCCCAGGCGTCTGGACCCCAACCGGCGGCTCGGGCACGCTTGGAAATCGAGGAGGGAAGAAGGGAGGAAGAAGGGTCCAGCGCCGACATGGACCATCCGCGCGGACCTCCCAACGTCGATGCTCCGTGCCGTTGCCCGCATTCCTCCTTGGACGCCCGCAATGGGTACGGAAAGAATGGGTACAATGCCCAACAACAAATGTTGTCCCAAAACAACAGCGGCCGCTGTTGGGCAGGCGGCCTGCTGTCTCGAATGTACACAGGCCGCGGCGGCGTGAACAGCGAGTCCTGTTCAAAATGAACAAGAACTGCTGTTGGGCATTGTACCCATTCTTTCCGTACCCACTTCGCTCGTGCCGATCCTCGAAGGATGGGGGAGGCAGGGGGCCGGCGCAGAGACTGTGCGAGTGTAAAGGGGCCCCAGAACACACAGATTCGCCGGCCCAACGGGCCAGAGGCGTGCTAAGATCTCCGGTAACTGCTCAACAATATTTCCAGTTCGCGCGCGCGGGGCGGGCCCTGGGGGTCCCCGGACGAAAAGTACCCCGGCAAGGTCCCGGCAAGGTCCCGGCAAGGTCCCGGCAAGGTCCCAGCTTAAGGTCCCGGCAAGGTCCCGGCAAGGTCCCGGCAAGGTCCCGGCAAGGTCCCGGCAAGGTCCCGGCAAGGTCCCTTTTCGGAGCCCAGGAGGGCTCCAAACGGTCCAAGAGAGGCCCGAGAAGCCCTCGAGACGGTCCAAGAGAGCCGGGAGACGCCGAAATATCACTCCCAAACGCCTGCGATGGCCTCAAGACGGCCCAACAGGCCTTCAAGACGCCCCAAGAGGTCCCTAAGCGGCGCCCCAAGAGGGCTCCCACCAGCAAAAATCGTCCCATTCCCTTAGGAAAACGTGCATTTTTAACATATCCGCCTCTTCGTCTTTCACACCTTTCAAGGCGGTCCAAGAGGCCCCCAAGATCACCCCAAGACGGCCCGAGAGACCCTCTAGACCGCTCAAAGACGGCCCAAGAGCGCTCCAAGAAGGCCCAAGAAACCCTCAAGAACTCTTTTTCGGAGCCCAGGAGGGCTCCAAATCGGTCCAAGAGGGGCCCGAGAAGCCCTCCAGACGGTCCAAGAGAGCCGGGAGACGCCGAAATATCACTCCCAAACGCCTACGATGGCCTCAAGACGGCCCAACAGGCCTTCAAGACGCCCCAAGAGGTCCCTAAGAGGTCCCTAAGCGGCGTCCCAAGAGGGCTCCCACAAGCAAAAATCGTCTCGTTCCCTTGGGAAAACGAACAGTTTTTAACATATCCGCCCCTTCGTCTTTCACACCTTTCAAGGCGGTCCAAGAGGCCCCCAAGATCACCCCAAGACGGCCCGAGAGACCCTCAAGACCGCTCAAAGACGGCCCAAGAGCGCTCCAAGAAGGCCCAAGAAACCCTCAAGAACTCTTTTTCGGAGCCCAGGAGGGCTCCAAATCGGTCCAAGAGGGGCCCGAGAAGCCCTCCATACGGTCTAAGAGAGCCGGGAGACGCCGAAATATCACCCCCAAGCGCCTACGATGGCCTCAAGACGGCCCAACAGGCCTTCAAGACGCCCCAAAAGGTCCCTAAGCGGCGTCCCAAGAGGGCTCCCACAAGCAAAAATCGTCCCATTTCCTTAGGAAAACGTGCATTTTTAACATATCCGCCTCTTCGTCTTTCACACCTTTCAAGGCGGTCCAAGAGGCCCCCAAGATCACCCCAAGACGGCCCGAGAGACCCTCAAGACCGCTCAAAGACGGCCCAAGAGCGCTCCAAGAAGGCCCAAGAAACCCTCAAGACGGTCCAAGAGGCCCCAAGACGGCCCCATGATTGAGGTCCACAGGGGCAACCTGAACGGAAATTTTGAGCCTCCCGCCCAAACACGCCCCCGAAATGCCCCTACAAGCCCCCAAGTAGCCCCACGAAGCCCCCAAGAGAGCCCCAAGAGGCCCCCAACAGGCCGCAAGAAAGCCCCAAGAGGCCCCCAAGAGACCCCAGGAAGCTCCCAGGAGGCCCCCAAGAGGCCAGGCAGACCCCCCCAAGAGACCACCAAGAGGGCCCACCCAGAGCCATCCACGAGGCCTCCCAAAGTTCCCAAGAAGCTCCCACGAAGCTTCCAAGGGCTCCCAAGACCCCCCAAGAACCCGCGATGGCACAATACGGGCCGGCGGAATGAGCGAAGCGATTCAATAAATACACACAAATACAAATATTCCCCATATTTTTCCATATTTTCTGAGGTTTTGTCTTCCCCCCCACTTCCCATATTTTCGCATATTTTCCGGGGGATCGACGATTAATTGTGTCTGTGTGATTTTCCCCCTCCTGAGAGTGGAAGCGCAGAGAAAAAAAGAGAACAGCGCACGGCTCTCCGGGGCCGGCGCCAGCCACCCCTCCCCGCAGCCCTCCCACGGAGCGCGCGGAGGGCGCTGCGGGGGCGGCGCGCGGAAGCGCCGCCCGGGGTGTGAGGGGGCGTCGGAGGGGGGAGCGCCGACCCAAGAGATCCGCGCGGAGCTCCGAAAGCGTGCCCTCCTCCTCCTCCTCCTCCTCCTCCTCCTCCTCCTCCTCCTCCTCCTCCTCCTCCTCCTGCTCCTGCTCCTGCTCCTGCTCCTCCTCCTCCTCCTCCTCCTCCTCCTCCGAGATCCGCGCGGACCTCCGAGAGTGCGCCCGTGGGTCGGAAGGAGCAGGCCCGAGCATGAGGTAGGAAGGCGGACAGAGCAGACCGGGCCTCAGGCCGTCCCAGAGAGGAGCAGGACACGGCGGAACCGAGTCGACGCCCGGAGCAGGGAGGGGCGCCGGAAGCAGAGATGGGGTCGGGGAACCCGAAAGACAGACCTGCTTCCGACGACCAGCGCGCATGTCTCTTCCCCAGAGGAAAGAGAACTATGCACATACACCGACTCTGGCCAGGCCCATCCTGAGCCCAGGAGCGGTGCACACGCCCTCTTACCTTGGCCAGGAAGGTATATGCACCGATCCTGGGTCGAGGATGGACGTTGTCAGGATCGGTGCGTGCATACTTTAGTAGTGGAAACAATTGGTGTTCAAAATGTTTGGTCTTTAGAAGCTCTGCGTGGCGACGCCCCCGTCGCCACGCGTGCCCTGTGCGTGCCTGCGGGGGCGCCGCCACGTAGAAGTACTGGAGACCGAGCATTTGGGGCGTCGCTACGCACGCCTTCTGCGTGGCTGCGACCATTTGTTAAAACCCTAAAACCCATTAAATTCACTACTAAAGTAGTTCTCTCCGCCCGATTCTCTTCGAGCGAGCTGCGGCGGGTCGGAGGTCTGGACAGGCCAGCGGCCCGCAGCCGCCTCGATGTGCCAATGTGCAGGGAGGCTCCCCTGGCCGCTGGCCGCGCCGGCCGGCAGCAGGGGGCCCGGCGCGCTCGCGCACAGAGCAGGAGAGGGCCACGCCGCCAGGTGCGGGCGAACCCCCCGGGATGGCTCCAGGATGCCCCCGAGGGAGGACGTCTTAGAGGATCGCATTTGGTGGGAGAGCTTCCGCTGGGAACGTGGGAGAGACCTCTGGGAGATGTTCTACGGGAACGCATTGGCGGGAAAGTTTCAGAGGGCAGCCTGCAACCTTGGACAGGGCGCTGCGGCGATTCTGGACAGGCGAGAGTGGAGGGTTGCCAGGAACCACCACCATCCAGCTTCTAATCTGAACCCCCCCCAAGAGATGCCCACGAGGGTCCCAGGGCGGCCCCAAGAAGAGCGCCGAAAGAGCGCCCCAACTGGGGCCCCAAGAGGCCACTGTTCGGCCTCGAGAGGGGCAGGGCTCATGAGAGGCCGCCCTGTCCTTGGTCGACGATGATATCTTTGAAAGGCCTTCAGCTGTTGAAAAAAATTCGCGAAGTGCGACCATCCTGGGAAGGCGTTGGAGCCAAAACGGCTCCAAGATGGCTCCAACTAGCACATGATGGCCTCCAAGATGGCGCAGGATGGTCAAGGATGGCTCAATATGTCCTCCAAGATGCCTCCAGGAGGCCCCAAGACCGCCCATACACGGCTCCAGGTGCCCACAGAGCCTCCCAAAGCCGTCCCAAACCCAAGGCAAACTCATGAGTTTCGCCGTCTCGCCTTTTCGCTTCCGATGGGCGTCTGAGTCTCAAGATGTCTTAAAAATGGTCCAAGAGAGCCCCAAGGGATGCCCAAAAGAGCCCCAAGACGGCTCGAGAGCGCCCAAGAGCGTCCCAAGAGACTACCTTTCGGGTCCAAGAAGGGCAAGGCTGCCGTCTTTGATCTACGTCCTCCAAGATGGCCCCAATAGGTCCCGAAATGCCCCCCAGAGAGCCTAAAGCGACACCCAAGAGATCCCCAGAGATCCCAGAGGCCTCCAACAAGCCCACCGCCCCCCAAGAATGCCCCAAGAAGGCCTTAGTGAGCTGCCAAGAGGCTACCATATCGAAAGACCCGAGACGGCATAGATGATCCTGGGCTCTGGACCCACGGCCACCCCCCCACCCCCCCACTCCCAGATGGGATGGGTCTCAGGGTCCCACGGGCACCCCCCCCCCACCCCGCCCCCAGATGAGGTGGGGGGGACGACGACGACGACGACGACGACGACGACGACGACGACGACGACGACAACGACGACGAAGACGAAGACGACGACGACCACGACCACGACCACGACCACGACCACGACCACGACGACGACGACGACGACGACGAAGACGACTACGACGAAGACGAAGACGAAGACAGCGTCTGCCAGGGCTGGACCTAAACGTTGTTGTTCGTTTTGTGTTCGTTTTGCTATTCGTTTTGCTCTACCTGTTTTCCTGTACCTCCCTGCCAAAACGAAGAACAAAACACAGCCGAAGTCCAGCAAAGAAGCGTTTAGGTCCAGCCCTGCCGTCCGCTCCGGCTCCCTGAAGCACCACAACACAACGCCACACCAAGAGGGAGGCGACTGGGAAGACACCGTCGACGACGATGCTGCTTCTCCTCCTACCTTCGTCCCCCTCCTCATACCTCCATCCTCGTTCCTGAGCCCTCTCTTGCATACCTTGCTCCCTTCTCTCGCTGCCTTTCCCAATGTATCCGACACTCTCTGGAGGTCAAGGCAGAGGACGACGACGATTACAAATTGGCACCCTCCCTCCGTTAAGTGTAGGAGTTTTACATCATGCCTAGGACGGCGATGCATGTGCCGATGCCTGCACCGATGCCGACGCTGATGTCGTCCTCCTCCTCCTTCTCCTCCTCCTCCTCCTCCTCCTCCTCCTCCTCATCCTGCTCCTCCTCCTCCTCCTCCCCTCCTCCTCCTCCTCCTCCTCCTCCTCCTCCTCCTCCTCTTCCTCCTCCTCCTCCCTGATGGGGTGGGGGGAGGGCTGGACCCCATATCCACCAACGCACGCCCAAAGGGGAAGACCCCACCACGCCATGCCCACAGGGGGAGGGGGCCCGTCGCGCGAAGGGGCGGGGGGTGCCCAAGGGCATCAGCATGGGGGGGGCAGCACCCTGGATCCTCCTCCTCCTCCTCCTCCTCCTCCTCCTCCTCCTCCTCCTCGTCTCGTCCTCCTCCGCCTCCTCCTCCTCCTCCTCCTCCTCCTCCTCTTCCTCCTCCTCCTCCTTCTCCTCCTCCTCCTTTGCGCACCGCGCCCCGCGACGCTCGACGCGCGGCTCTGCGCGCGCCCCCCCGCGCTCTCGCGCCGCCCCCCCCCCCCCCCGGAGAGGGGCGGCCGCCCTGGCCCGGACCGCGACGCGGGGGAGCGCGGCTGCCTCCGCGCCCCCGCGGGCGAGCTACGTCAGCCGCAGCTCACCCGGGCACGCCCAGAATCAGAGACGGGAGCGCGGCGCCCACGGGGAATGAACAAGCGTCACTGCACCGACCTCCAAGGGGGGGCTGCAATCGACTACCCCCCCTCCCGCCCCAAGGGGCCCCCAAAAGCCCCCTAATAGGCCCCAGGGGAGCCCAAGACGCCGCCAAGGAGCCCCAAGACGCTTCCAAGAGGTCCCCAAAAGGCCCCCAAGACGGCCCCAAGAGGCCCCAAATAGCGCTCCAGGGCCGGCGGAATGAGCGAAGCGATTACATAAACAAGCGTCCCTGCACCGACCTGGCAGACGTGCTGCAGCGGACTTCCGCCTGGTCTTCTGTTCAGGCAACACCCCCGACACGTCGAGCGAAAGACGAAGTGCATGTCGCGTCAATGTTTGTTTAGTCTTCACTCCTAGCCGAAAAAGTCCGCACGAAATTCATTTCTACATGCGAAACGAAATTCTCCAGGACACTCCGGGCCCATCCCATAGGTTTTCGAACAAAATCCGCTCTGCGAAGTTGGCGCCATGGCAAGCGCGTTCCGCTCCTCGCAGAGCAACTACTCGCACATGGCCAGGATCCGCCGCAGGGGATGTGCGATCCGTTACCTGCGGGCAGGATTTATATCCATATCCACTGCATACTGGATTTCTGGGAAGGGTCGCCAACAGGCCGCGACGCCGTGGAGATGTATAAACATCTGATCTCTAGGGGCGATGTTTTATCCGTATCCACGGCGCCTCTGGCATCGGAGGAAGGGAGCCCGAAACTCCATGACGCGGTGGGGCCCCGCGTTCCCCCGACCCTGCTTGGACGGCGGGTGCCCTCGGCTCCGTCCCGCCGGCCAGTGGCCCAGCCATTCATACAAGCTGCGAGCGGGCGGATGCGCTGACATAAAAGGGGGGAGGAGGAGGAGGAGGAGGAGGAGGAGAAGGAGGAGGAGGAGAAGGAGGGGGCCATCGCCGGATCGATCCGCTCTGCCTGGGACGCACAGAGACAGACTAGCACCGTGTGTCCTCTTCGGAGGCGTGCGTCGGACCTGAGCATATAGTAACTCTACTCAGCTTGTAGTAGATCGTTTCCCGAGAGGTGTGGCCCGGAAACGCCCGCCACGACGCAGACACGACAAGATGTTGGGGGTGCGACGCACACATAGCATTAGTACGCTAAGATGACGCCGAGTCCACGTGAGCACTGACAAGAAAGAAGTCTTGCCTCGCCATCGCTCGGACGTCCATCTCCCGTGCATGCTTCGATGTCGTGCGTGGTTGTTTTTTATTGCTCGATGATCCACGATGCTCCTCGATGGTCCTCGCCGAGGAAAACGCACACGTCCGAGCGATGCCAAGTTACGCGAGATGACAGTCGGCGACGGGCGAGAGGGGTTAGTGAGAAGGGGCGGGCCTTCTCAGAAGGCTCGGAAATCCCCCAGCCTTCTGAGAAGTTGTATGAGCCTTCCCCGAAAGCATCAAGAACCTCTCAGAAGGCCAGAAGGCTTCTGAGAAGTCCCGCCGCCTTCTGAGACGGCCTTCTCCTCCTCATTTACCCCCCATCGCTCGCCGCCGACACATAGCAACCTTAGGCTTAGGTCGGGCGCGTCTTCCTACAGGCAAATGATGGAAGAAAAATGAATAAAGTCTAAAAATAATCAGAAACAGTCAGAATAGCAAGAAAAAGCGGCACCAGACCATGTCTTCACTATTCTTGAATATGCCTCCTGTAGAGAGGGACATGCCCGACGTAACCCTACGCGGTGGCTCACGCGGGCCGCCGGCGTGGCACGCGCCACTGGCAACGAAGGGCCGCTCACGCGCGCCCCGGCGCGGGCCGCTCCCGCGACGGGGAGTGCGCAGACGACCCCCCCTAAAACAAGGCTAGGAACGGGATAAATCGCTCCAGAGCGTTCCGGAGCGCTCTCAGAGCGTTCCGGAACGCTCTGGAGCGGCCGCGGCGCCCAATACATCCTCCAAACCCGCCGATTCTCAGAGATTTCGAGTTATCCCGATCCGATTTTGTCCCGATCTTCGCGTCGTTTTACCCCCCCCTTTTTGCCTGCCTCGCGCGCGTGGCACACCCCCCAAACCCCCTCGCGTCGTGAAGAGATCACGGCAGGGGGCGTTTCGGCCTCCGGGGGGCCCGGTCCGGGCCCCGGGACCGTCCAGAACCGAGCAAGGATGAAAAACCCGTCCCGGGGAAGGGAGGGGGAAACGGAGGAGGAGGAGGAGGAGGAGGAGGAGGAGGAGCTGAGGAGGAGGGGGAGGGGGAGGGGGAGGAGGAGGAGGAGGAGGAGGAGGAGGAGGAGGAGGAGGAGGAGGGGAGGAGCGGAGGAGGGGAGGAGGCGGAGGAGGAGGAGGAGGCGCGAGGAGGAGGAGGAGGAGGAGGAGGAGGGCGAGGGGGAGGGGTAGGCAGGAGGAGGAGGAGGGGAGGAGGAGGAGGCGGAGGAGGAGGAGGAGGAGGAGGAGGCGGAGGAGGAGGAGGAGGAGGGGAGGTAGGAGGAGGAGGGGGAGGGGGAGGGGGAGGGGGAGGAGGAGGAGGCGGGAGGAGGCAGGAAGGAGGAGGAGGAGGAGGAGGAGGGAGGAGGAGGAGGAGGAGGAGGAAAGAGGAAGAGGAAGAGGAGGAGGAGGAGGAGGAGGAGAAAGAGGAGAGGAGGAGGGTGAGGAGGAGGAGGAGGAGGAGGGGAGGAGGTGGAGGACCTCCTGGGTCGTCTACGCTGCGAAAAAAAAAACGTCGGAGGTCTGGGCCCCGCGACGGGCAGCACACATAGCGCGCCCCGCTCCCCCTCCACTCCCCCCCCCCTCCCCGGTAGAGGCAACAGCTCCTCGACTCCTCGACCTCCTGCCTCTTCTCAGCGGCGCGCCCGGAGCGGGGAGGTGCGAAGGAGAAGGCCTTCTCAGAAGGCCCTCGGAAGTCCCCCCGACCTTGTGAGAAGTTTCCTGAGCCCCTCCGTCAACGGAGGGCCCTGCCCGCTGAGGGCGCTCCAGGAGGCCAACGGCACGCGCCCGCTCCCACCGGGCCCCAGGCCTCCCCCCCCCTCCCCGGTGCCGCACAGCTCCTCGATCTCCTGCCTCTTCTCGGCGGCGCGCCCAGAGCGGGGAAGCGAGAAGGAGAAGGCAGGCTTTCTAAGAGGCTCTTGGAAGTCC